TTACAGTGGGGATGAGGTTTTGATGTTGGTGTGCTGTGCCTTTTTTTCTCCACACATAGTGTTGTGTGTTTCTTCCCAAACACCTCAATCTTGGTTTCATCTATCCACAGTATATTTTGCCAGTAGTGCTGTGGAACATCCAGGTGCTCTTTTGCAAACTTCAAACGTGCTGCAATATTCTTTTTGGACAGCAATGGCTTCCTCCGTGGTGTCCTCCCATGTACTCCATTCTTGTTTAATGTTTTCCTTATTGTAGATGTGTCAACAAAAATGTTAGCATGTGCCAGAGATTTCTGTAGGTCTTTAGCGGACACTCTGGGATTCTTCTTTACCTCATGCAGCATTCTGCGCTGTGCTCTTGCAGTCATTTTTACAGGACGACCACGCCTAGGGAGAGTAGCAACAGTGCTAAACTTTCTCCATTTGTAGACAGTCTGTCTTACCATGGACACATGAACATCAAGGCTTTTGGAGATACTTTTGTAACCTTTCCAGCTTCATGCAAGTCAACAATTCTTGATCGTAGGTCTTCTGAGAGCTCTTTTCTGCGAGGCATGGTTCACATCAGACAGTGCTTCTTGAAACCAGTAAACCCAAAACAGGTGTGTGTTTTTAAAGGGCAGGACAGCTGTCAGCAACACATCCAATATCATCGCACTGATTGGAGTCAAGGTTGGCTCACTCCTGGCTCCAACTAGCTCTGGGAGAAGTCATTAAGCTAAGGCCTCACATACTTTTTCCTCCCTGCACTGTGAATGTTTACATGTTATGTGCAATTAAACCATGGCAACATCTAATGTTTGTGTTGTATTATGTTCAGCAGACTGTGTTCTTCTATTGTTGCAACTTAGATGATGTTCAGAGCACATTTTATGCCCAATTCATGCAAAACTCCACGTAATCCCAAGGGGTTCACATACTTTTTCTTGCAACTGTAGTTCATTCTTGGAACAAATACTGTGCTTCAGAGGATATCCAAATTAATTTAGAGCAGGATAAGAGGAACCGCATTCTAGACGTCAGGTTCCCTTGAGAAAAAGTGACGAAACGCATCAGGGTCGTGACGTCAGACGCAGCCACCTTTGTTGTTGGAATTTGGCTGTGTAAACTACAGGAAGGATGGACGGTTCCTATTTTGATGTAAGATTTTAATAAAGTCTATGTGTTACCCTTTTACACTCCACTGAACTTGTCCTTTCTGCCTTATGAGGAGCGGGGGAGACTGAAGTGGATATATCCGCAGGGAGGAAGCTATAACTACCCTGGGATGCTGGCATTGCTGGTTTAAGCAGAGAGAGGGTAATTGTATTGAATCCTACTAGAGTGTGGAGCCACTAAATTTGAGCACATTATCACAGGTTGTGTAATTTGCTGTGGATTTATTTCACAAGTGGAAGGTCACGGATTGTTTATTTATAATTAGAAGTATTGAGTGTGGTATTCAATGTTTATTTAGTTTCACAGAGTGCTGTGTATTTTGATTCACAATATATACATATGTATATACATAATTTAAAAAGTTTTTTTTTTTTTTTTTTTCTTTTTCTTTTGCACGAGTGGTTTGCATAAAATTTAAATATTTTTTACTAAGGGTAATGCACTATATGCAGTTTCTTTATTTATGTATTTTGAGGTATCCTGGATTTTCCCACGATATTTGGAAGACTGAAAAATAATTGTTGTGGACATTTTGGACTATATTTGCTGTGGACACTTTGGACTCACATTGGTCACTTACAGGAAGATTAATATTGTATACAGGTTATCTAGAAAAGGTTTTGATACAAGTCCCATCATGCCTCTGCCTTTGGAAGTCATGCTTGCAACTGTCAGCTTTGCAATGCCTCATGGGACTTTTAGTTTGGTAACAGCTGGAGGGCCACCAGTTTGACACCCGTGCCTTAATAACTAGTCCGAGCCATTCCTGGATGAAACGCGTTAGTTCCTATGATGTAAGCTTTTTTGTATCCCATAAATATTGAAACTGATCGCTGTGTGAAGGACTTTTTGGATTGTTTGGGTTGAGTGTGGAGGTGAATGAGAAACTACCCCAAGCACCAACTAGAGATGTATACCACAAAAAAAATTAGTTTCGTTTTGGAATCATTCCTTAAGTCAATCATTTTGTTTTGTAATATTTGTTATGTTAGAATGATACATTTTCAGAATTTTTTTCTTCTATTTGGATTTGCTTTGGATATTTGTTGTTCTGAATCGATTCATATTTTCTGAAGTTATTTTGTAAGATTTGGGTTTATTCATTATGTTATTTCGGCGACTTGCTTGCGACTTTGCTGCGACTTGCTTGCATCTTTTGATGTTTTGACCAGGGGCGGACTGACCATTTGGAAACTGCCCGAAGGCCCGGGGTCAGTAGGGGGCCCCATGAGATGCCCCTGGTATCTTTTTCATAGGCTTTTTTGAGTTTGGGCAAGGACACAGGGGCCCCATGATCCCCTATTGCCCGGGGGCCCCATGAGTTGTCAGTTTGACTTTGGCTTTGCCCAATCATAACAATACAGAGTATGACACATATTGCTGAGCCTACAAGACGCACTGAAGTCGCAAATTAACCGCTTCTGCACTGCCCTATAGCAGAAATACTGCTACAGGGCGGCATGGGTGTGCAAAATCACCAGGTAAATCACTGGGTCCCGGTCGGTGATTCCCCACCAGCACCAGGCGATCTCCAAGGATTTTCGACGGACAAGAGACCTGTATGTAAACAATACAGATCTCTCCCCTGTCAGCTCCTGCACACTGCTTTGTATGGCTCTGCATAGCACAGCTGCAAAGCAGTGTGCTTACAGTGAAGCATACACACAGCTCACATGGCAAAACAGTACACAGCACACAGTTTACCCTTTGATCACCCCAGATGTTAACCCCTTCCTGTCCAGTGCCATTAGTACAGTGTCAGTACTTTTTATTAGCACTGATCACTGTATTGGTGTCACTGGGGATGTCCGTGACACCAAGTCAGTTCCCCCCCAGTGTCAGAATGCCCGCTGCAGTCCCTCTATAAGTTGCTGATTGCCGCCATTACTAGTAAAAAACAAAAATTCCAGTGTATATACCACTCAGGGGCGGACTGACAACTCATGGGGCCCCCGGGCAATAGGGGATCATGGGGCCCCTGTGTCCCTTGCCCAAACTCAAAAAAGCCTATGAAAAAGGTACCAGGAGCATCTCATGGGGCCCCCTACCGACCCCGGGCCCTCGGGCAGTGCCCGAGTTTCCAAATGGTCAGTCTGCCCCTGATACCGCCATTTGTAAACGCTCACTTAAACCAGTTACTTTACAAGTATTGGGATTTTTTAGTAAAGACATGTAGCAGAGTACATTTTGGCCTAAATTTATGACGAAAAATTATTTTTAAAATTTTTTTACTGTACATGTTTAATGGCAAAAAGACAAAAAAATTTTTTCTTTTTAAACTTGTTGGTCTTTTTTTTTTGATTAAGGAAAAAAAATTAAAAAACCACACAGGCGATCAAATACCACCAAAAGCAAGCTCAATTTGTTGGAAAAAAAGGACATACATTTAATTTGGGTGCAGCGTTGCATGACCGCGCAATTGTCAGTTAAAATATCGCAGTGCCGTATTGCAAACAATGGCCTGGTCAGGAAAGGGGGTAAATCCTCTGGAGGGCAACTGGTTAAAGGAATGAATAAGAAGGGATTCATTGTTATAATTTAATTCAAATTTGTTGAAGTTTGTTATTATTGTGATTCGTAAATTCAGATACATCTGACGAAAATTATGACAATTTTGTCCAAAATTCGATTCGTAATGCAACAAATCACACATGTCCTGCACCAACGTTCCTCATTGTGGATTAGAAGGTAGAGCTGAATAACCTTTTCCTGATCTCTTTGTTTGTATCACTCTTTAAATCTTGGCTGAGACCTCCGGCCATGCGACTGAATAATCGCTCTGCTGTGATCATACAATGCAACACTTTAATCTCATGCCGGAACGTATTAATGATCTGCCTCCTCTCCGCCATAGACCTGAATAGGAGTCGAAGATGAATTGCTCATTTATGAGATTGCTGGGCCATGTTACCCATTTGTAGTCCCCAGAGAGATGTATTGAAGAGATCTCCTGCAGCAACACAAAATAACTATTCGGTCTCTAGAAGACGTTTCTCCATCTCTAAGATTAAAAATTGTTTGTGTAGCTCTAGGCTACTATAGACAGAAGACATGGTCAGAACGTATGGAACATTTTAAGATGCATGTTTGTTTTTCTAATACCAGCCATAAATATAATGATAATTGATGTTTGATTCCATCATTTGAAATGATTGATGGATAGAAAAAGACCAATCAATTTGGTAAAATTTAAAGTACACCTGGGCCCAGACTAAGGACAGCAGGGTATTTCTGTATGTTTAACAAGCAGTAAAGAAGGTTTAAAGGGTATTTCTACTTTTCCAGTTACATTTGTGAAAGCCCCACTATATGTTTGCTATGTTTTCCCATTCAGCACAGCATACCTACATTAAAAAAAACAATTCTTACCTTTTAGATGTCACCTTCAACCCCCTTCCTGCCCAGGCCATTTTCATCTTTCAGTTCGGTTGTACTTTGAATGACAATACACCGTCATGCAACACTACACAAACTAAAATTTTTATAATTTTTTGGAGACAGATAGAAATTTATTTTGGTGGTATTTAATAACCACGGGGTTGTTTTTATTGTTTGCTAAACAAAAGAAAAAAGACTGAAAATTTTCAAAAAAACCCCCTTTTCTTAGATCCTTCAATGATGTGCATTGATGACGCTGCACTGATGGGCACTGATAAGCTGCACTGATGGACACTGATGAGAATGCACTGATGGGCACTGATAGGCTTTATTGATGGGCACTGATAGGCTGCACTGATAGCCACTGATAAGCTGCACTGGTGGACACTGATGAGACTGCACTGATGGGCACTGATAGGCTTCATTGATGGGCACTGATAGGCTGCACTGATCAGACTGCACTGATGGACACTGATGAGACTGCACTGATAGGCACTGATAGGCTTCATGGATGGGCACTGATAGGCTGCACTGATGGGCACTGAGGAGGTGGCACTAGTGGGCACTGAGAAGCTGCACTGATGGGTACTGATGAGACTGCACTGATTGGCACTGATAGGCTTCATTGATGGGCACTGATAGGCTGCACTGATGGGACTGCACTGATGGACACTGATGAGACTGCACTGATAGTCTTCATGGATGGGCACTGATAGGCTGCACTGATGAGGTTATGGGCACGGATATGCTGCACTGATGGACATGGATTGGACATGGATGGGGCTGCACTGATATTCCCTGTTGATGGGCACTGAGATGCTACACTGATGGTTCTGCACTGATCATCAGGGCACTGATGATCAGTACCCTGATTATCAGTGTAAATTTCTACTGTCACAGGAAAGCCGGTTATTGGCTTTCCTTTCCTGAGTGCTGACACTGTTTACATGTGATCTACTGTGATTGGACACAGCTGATCACATGATAAAGAACCAACGTCATTGGCTCTTTACCCTGATCAGGGATGAGCTGTGTCTGAGGGACACAGCTCACCAAAGATCGCCATGTTGTGTGACCCTCGGAGGCGCTCACATGTGGCATGACCGGGAAGACGTCATATGAAGATTAAGAAGATGGTATGATGGCGGATTCTATCATTTCTGGGCAGTCTTACAGTGTCTTGTCCTCACACAGACTAAAGCTGACCATACAGTACATGGATCAAAATCGGGTCGGTTCAATTGGGTCCGGCTGAGATTCAGTTCATGTATGGGCCGGCTGCTTGTACCCAAGTCAATCCATCAAATTAACTTGGACATACAACCAGCCTGACGGATTGTGCAAGAAAAGAAATTTGCTTGATTCCCCCATCAACACAGTCAGTGTTGTTGGGGGAATCCCTCCTGCAGTGCTATGTTGTTCTACCAGTGGGAGGTTTCCCGGCCAGCAGAGCACAATGATTATTGCTTGTGGCTATAGCTGCCGGCAGTAGTTTTATGTAGAAAATCCAACAGGCTTGTTATACCCAGGTTGATCGATGGACTAACTAGAGTACAATTAGCCTGCCCATAGATGGGATCCATCAGCCAGTCTCTGCCGAGATTCGATCCATCTATGGCTGTCTACCACCCCCTAGATTCTGATATTTTTTTCAGTAAATAAGCTGAGTCAAGCATTCAAAGTCCTTTTTCTTTCAATCTGTCATATGACTAAAAAAAATATTTATAACTATTTAGTGATCTATTCTCATATTGTGGAACCTGTATAAATCCAAACACAGCTGGTAAATTTTAATTCTAAATACAAAATATTGCTAATGTGTTTTTATAATGATTTTTCTGTAACAGGCAATTGTCCGATAAATGAGCTTTTGATGGTGTGGATTTAAAGGCTTTCAAAAATCGCACAAATATTTGAACAAAAAAATTTTTTTTTTAAAATTGAAGAAAGGCTTCGTTGGTTTTATATTATATTTTCACCGCTGTCTCCTGCGGCAGGGTGGAGGGGGGCTGAGAGGAATGAGCCACATTTCAGGCCAAATATATATTAAACAAAGGAACCAACAGATAGCTGATGGAATTGATCTGACATGAATTGGCAGATGGTCGGCTGCAGGATAGATACCAGGTCTATGGGATCAGGTGTGGTATAGAAGGTTTAATTCAGGCTCTGACAGGGTTTAATACTTGTCAATGATCCCGTTATCTCTGTGGAGCTCCCACCGCCCCCTATCCTAATCATTTACTGTTGTCAGTAATTTTTTTTCTCATTTTCACAGAGGAGTTGTGCCATACTGTAGCACTGAGCCTGTGTTTATATATTGTTATTGAAATGGACAAAAAATTCCCTTTTTAAATTGATTTCCTAGCATGACCATATAAACCAAAACCAAAAAGAAAGTCATTAAAAAAATCTCTACATATATACTGTGTAAATATATTATTATTATTTTTATTATACAGGATTTATATATAGCGCCAGGGGCGGACTGAGAACTCATGGGGGCCCCGGGCAATAGGGGATCATGGGGCCCCTGTGTCCTTGACCAAACCCAAAAAAGCCTATGAAAAAGGTAACAGGGGCATCTCATAGGGCCCCCTACCCCCGACCCCGGGCCCTCGGGCAGTGCCCCAGTTTCCAAATGGTCAGTCTGACCCTGTATAGCGCCAACAGTTTGCACAGCGCTTTACAAAATGAAGGTAGACATTACAGTTACAATACTATTTGGTACAAGAGGAAACAAAGGGCTCTGCTCGTTAGAGCTTACAATCTAGGAGAAACAAAGGGACTATTTATATATAGATATATATCTATATATATCTATATCTATATATCTATCTATATATATATATATATATATATATATATATATATATATATATAGATATCTATCTATTATATATATATAGATATATATATACAGTGCATCCGGAACGTATTCACGGTGCTTAACTTTTGACACATTTTGTTATGTTATAGCCTTATTCCAAAATGGATTAAATTCATTTTTTCCCTCAACATTCTACACACAATATCCCATAATGACAACATGAAAGAAGTTTATTATGAAATCTTTGCAATTTATTAAAAATAAAAAGACCACATGTACATAAGTTCACAGCCTTTGCCATGACACTCAATGAGGGTGGCCTGAGGGCCTGACATCCTCTAGTGGGCCCTGTGCTCACTGCCCAGCACCACATGGCATTTGCCATTGAACACCAGAATTGGCCGGTCCGCCACTGGCGCCCTGTGCTGTTCACAGATGAGAGCAGGTTCACCCTGAGCACATGTGACAGACGTGAAAGGGTCTGGAGAAGCCATGGAGAACGTTCTGCTGCCTGTAACATCGTTCAACATGACTGTTTTGGTGGTGGGTCAGTGAAGGTCTGGGGAGGCATATCCATGGAGGGACGCAGAGACCTCTACAGGCTAGACAGTGGCACCCTGACTGCCATTAGGTATCGGGATGAAATCCTTGGACCCATTGTCAGACCCTACGCTGGTGCAGTGGGTCCTGGGTTCCTCCTGGTGCACGATGTTTCCCACCCTCATGTGGTGAGAGTATGCAGGCAGTTCCTGAAGGATGAAGGAATTGATACCATTGAATGGCCCCCATGCTCGCCTAATCTAAATCCAAAGGAACACTTCTGAGATATCATGTTTTGGTCCATCTGACGCTGCCAGGTTGCACCTCAGACTGTCCAGTGATGCCCTGGTCCAGATCTGGGAGGAAATACCCCAGGACACCATCCGTCGTCTCATTATTTGCTGTGTTTTGAGTTGCATCGATGTGAATGGACACCATTGAAAAGAAAGTGATTTCCATTGTCCTGCGATTCTGCGTGACTCATCTGAAATCACACTAGTCTGAACGGAGCCTAAAAGAAAATCATGTCAGAGTCACACTGTGTGTGGTCTCAGTATATTTCTGTGTTTGTATTCATTTGCATCTTTAAAAATAAATGTTCTGTTTTGATTTCCATTGAAATCATTCTATTTACAGATGTTAAGGTTACAGAATGATTCTGCAAGGTCTATTTTCAGATATCAATTCCAGTCTGAGCAGCATGAGATGACCCCTCTGATTTTTATCAATTAGGACAATCTGTTCGGTTTAATATAAATAATTTTCTGCCATAAATCTTCTTTATTGCTGGAGTTCTGCGTCTGGGCGATGAAGATTAATGAGCGCGCCTTCCACTTACAGGCATCAGATAAGACATTCAGATGGGGATAGTCTGGGGACCAATTCTTTTTTTTTAAAGTGAGAATATCATGTGAGGGATGGGATTAATAGTGGATTTATATCGAATAATCCAACATTATTTATTATTATATGATTTTTGTATATTAAAGACCAACTGTACTCCAAATGTCATTTATTAGGCAGGGTCCGTGTTCGGAATAAGACAAGATTTTACTGGAAGTTTTTATGTGCGTATCAGCACTCCGATATCTTCCCAGTCTCTGTTTTCCAGGTCATGTTGGTGACTCGGACCACTCTGCTATGTGCGAGAACAACCAAACATCCCAAAAAGTCACAATTACTGCAACAATCAAGCAGCACAGTGGCTAAATGGTTAGCACTTCTGCCTGGCAGTACTAGGGTCCAGGGGTTTTCCACTCATTGGTTCAAATCCCAACCACAGCACACACCTGCCTGGAGTTTGCATGTTGTCCCTGTGCCTGTGTGGGTTTCCTCTGGGTACTCCAGTTTCCTCCAGCACTCCAAAGACATGCTGGTAGGTGAACTGGATCTTGTCTAAATTGATCCTAGCATATGAATGTAAGTTAGGGACCTTAGATTGTATGCCCCTTGAGGGTTAGGGACTGATGTAAATGTGCAATATATATGTAAAGCGCTGTGTAAATTGACAGCACTATATAAGTAACTGAAATAAATAAATAAAACTACTGCAACAATCCACAATTCTCACACCCTGAGCACCCAGCATGAGCTTTCTGGGTGGATCATGCCATTGAAGAAGGGAAGGTTAGGAGGCCACAACCCACACACAGACAACATACGTGTAGCACTACTCCCCTAGGAGCCACAAGATAGAATGGGTCCTCTGTTCTTTGCTTCTACCTTCTCATGAACCTCAGCCCCTCTGACACACCAGATTTAAGTGTACAAACATACAATATCACAGGAATTCACTGAAAGTAATACTTAGTACCCAATAGTAGTGCTATATCAAAAAAACCAGGCACCAACCATGTAGTAAAGGCAAACGTAACATATTGTCACTCAGTATGGTTGGTAAATAGGCACTGGAGGTATGTTATGACAGACTTACCTTTACACAGGGCCCTCCAGTGCCGACGCTGCCGTTCTTCACCCAGTCTTCCTTCCAGGTTCGTGGCCTTTGGCCACATGAATGGCTGCAGCCACAAAGACGTCACTCCTGTGCATGTGCGTGAGAACCCTCAGCTGCAACACAACCTCTGAAGGTCTAGCACTGCTATGGTGTTCCTTCAGAGCGCATGCGTAGGTGACGTCACCGGCTGAATGCTGTGTGAATATCTCCTAAACAGTGCAAGTTCAGGAGACATTCACAGTACCTACAGGTAAGCCTTATTATAGGCTTACTTATAGGTACAACTTAAACAAAAGAATTTCCTACCACTTTAATAGTAAGGACTTGGCATAAGATGACATTTGGCGTCCAGATCAGTATAAACAGTAGCAAGGCCACATCAAGTGCAGCAGTGACCAGTAGTACAGTTTAGTCTACCGAGTGCTGGAACTATACTGTCAGAGTGCATTTATGGCGGTGATGCTAGTCCTTTACCAACTGGATATGCACTGTCCAAAATAAAAGGAGAATGGTGGTGGTGGTGGGGGGGGACGACGACGACAAAAGGGGGCTTACAGAATAATTATTACAGGAGGGGCAGTCCTTTGAGATGTTCTTCTGCCAGCTGTCATTGGGGCCCTTTAGGAGTAACAGTGCACCACTTAACTACAGTCCCAATTAGCTTAAGAGCAGTATAGGTATGGTATAAGCTCGGCATAGGTGCAAGGCTGATGTGGTTCAGATGCAGTAAAGGTTCAGTAGAATGCGGTATAGGGTTGGTATGGGTGCAGCCTAGGTCTGTAATAAGTGCGATGTGGAGTGTAGTATGGGTGCAGTAGGGATTGGGTACACTAGGTATTATTCCTCTGCCACCAATAACAATTGGGAAGGAGGCAGAATATGAGGTAGAATCAATCCTGGACTGCAGAAAGCAAGGAAGGCAGATCCAGTTCTTGATCAAACAGAAGGGGTATCCTACTGAAGAAAGCTCCTGGGAACCAAAAGACAACGTACATGCCCCCAGACTTCTCCAGGAGTTCTACTCCAAATATCCAGACAAGATGGCCCAAGAAGGCATCCAGAGGCTGCCCTTTAAGGGGGGCACTGTCAGGGCTCTGTCCTCGGCAGAGGTGTTAGGAGACCTGGCACCCCTGCCAGTACCTTGCATGGCCGCAGAAATTCACATCGGCTCAAATTTGGTGGCAAACGGCCTTTATAAGGAAGCCCTGCACTACTCTCAGGTGCTGGTTGATCTCTGGCTCCCCAGTACCCTGTTCCTGTGCTGTGATTTCCTGTTCCTGTGCTACTGTGACCTGTGATTTCCTGTTACTGACTCGGCTTGCTCCTGGACCTGTCTTCTCTGCCTTAAACCGTGACCTGACCTCGGCTTGGCTAACGGATGTTCTCTTTTGCTACTCTGTGTATAACCTTGGCTATCCCATCTGACTACGTCTGCTCTGATCTCCACCCGGTACCGGACCTTGGCTTTGAACCGGCTATCCAGTAATCCTCTGTTCCCTGGAAGGGCTTGCATACCTCGTACAGGTGCTACCTGTCTGCAGACCTCATCTCAGTGCATCAACTGTGCTCCTGGGTGGACCACCAACAAGCACTCCTACAGGTGACCTGTGCCACTTTGGGCCTGACTCCTGCTGTCCCACTCTCAGGGGAGTCTGGAGTCGCACCTGAAATCGGCTTGTCACCTGACTTTGAAATTATGCAACTTCACTGTAAGTTGCCCAATTTCAAAGTCGGGCTTGATGTAATCGGGGTATAAAGCCAGGTATTGCGCATGCATGTAGGTGTGTCAAGCATTTGAGAGTTAATGGATTCCATTGGCCAGAATATCAATTTATTCTGGCCACTGAAATATTAATAATAAAAAAGGGAGGAAGAGAGAGAGGCGCCAAGCGGCCGCTGGTGCGGTAGTAACTTTATTGAGTAATAAACACAAACAAATAGCAATGCCAGACGTCTCCATGTGTAAGGCAGGCCATAGATGGGTCGAAAGCCGAAAAATAAATCGGCCATCTCTAAACTCCTATGGACACCTAAGTTAAAGTGGCTGTAATGGCTCAACATTTTTTACCTTCATGCATTCTATGCATGAAGGTAGAAAACCTTCTATGTGCAGCATCACCTCCAGCCCCCCTAATACTCACCTAAGCCCCGTCTCGATCCAGCGATGCACACAGGAGTCTCGGCTATCCTGGGACACCCTCTTCTGATTGGCTGACACAGAAGCAGTAGCCATTGGCTCCCACTGCTGTCAATCACAGCCAGCGAGCCAATGAAAAGAGAAGAGGCAGGGCTGAGCCATGGCTTCATGTGTGAATGTCCACACGGAGCAGCAAGTGCCCCCATAGCAAGCTGTTTGCTGTGGGGGCACCTGACAAGAGGGAGGGGCCAGGAGAGCCTGCAGGGGATCTGAGAAGAGGAGGATTGAGGCTGCTCTGTGGAAAACCACCGCACACATCAGGTAAGTATAGACATGTTTGTTATTTTTAGCCTTTAGAATCATTTTAAGACTCCATGCACACGGGGCATTTTAATAACGCTGGTAACGTTAGCTGTGTAAAGTCACGTTAAAAATGTGAGTTTTTCAGCTTTTTAAAGCGTTTTTTGAATTAGCGTTTAGCGGCATTTTGCTGCTTTTTTTGCGTATGCGGTTTTTAGAATTCTTTTTTGACTAAAAAAAATATTTTTTAGTCAAAAAAAGTCCAAAAACACTGGTCTGCTGCAATTTACCACGACTGACTGCGTTTTACCACGTTTTTCAGCGTTAGAGTGCTTTTAAAGCTAAAAAACTCCTCTAGAAACCCACTAGTTCTGGGTTTTTTGTTCCAGCCAAAAAAGCGCCCCTGCCAAAAAACGTTGATTACAGTCTGTGTGTGTGTATGGACACATAGAATAACATGCTGGGGGGTTTACTGGCTGTAGAAAAAAATGCCAGAAGTCACAAACAGCCGCTGTAAAAACGTCCCGTGTGCAGGAGGACTAACATGGATGGGTGTTTACAGGCATAAAAAAAAAGCTCAAATGCCTGTAAAAGCAGCATTTGTGAGCTCAAGAATGCATGAGTTTTGATAAGGAAATCAACAAATGTGAAGGTTCCATTTACAAGAAAAAAAATTACAATGTAAAAGTAAAGATTAGAGAGGAGAAAAATGATTGGACGTGGAGATCCTCAGACGTGGCAGGTGCTCCGAGGATCTAAACTCTTTATCAAACAGAAAGCTTTTAAAGCAGGTGAACTCCGGTAAAAACTTATTTATTTATTTAAAACTTTTAATTTCCCATGCAGTGGGGCTGTGTCTGTAATGCAAGGGTTATGTACTCGTTTTGTCTAGGAGCACAGGGATAAACTGTACTTACCCCATCCTCTGATCCTCCGGAAAACCACGCTCCCCTACGTCCAGTGGTGGACTGTTCCTGCCGTCCCCACGTCCGGAGCTGGTCTATGGGCGTAATGGCGTCAGGAACAGCCAGGGGCGGACTGACAACTCATGGAGCCCCCGGGCAATAGGGGATCATGGGGCCCCTGTGTCCTCACCAACACCCAAAAAAGGCTAAGAAAAAGCCAATGAAAGGTACCAGGGGCATCTCATGGGGCCCCCTACTGACCCTGGGCCCTCGGGCAGTGCCCGAGTGTTCGAATGGTCAGTCCGCCCCTGGGAATAGCCTATTCACAAAACTGCTGGGCAGGAGCGGCAGGGACTGGTCTTGTGAATGGAGGATTGGTGGGTTAGGTAAGTACAGTTGTGTTCAAAATAATAACAGTGTGTTGAAAAAAGTGAATAAAGCTCAAAATCCTTCTAACAGCTTTTATTTCCATCCACACAAATGCATTGGGAACACGACACATTCTATTCCAAATCAAAACATGAAGAAAAATATATCAAATTTGTGTTGTTCCTCTAAAAAATGGAAGAAAAGTGAATATTAGACTGTTCAAAAAATAGCAGTGTTTGTATTCTTCTTTACAAATTCAAACATTCACTATATAAACTGAAAAATGTTTGAAGATTTTGCTTTCCTTTGAATGACTTCATGAATATTTGGTTGTAGTCGCACTGTTTCTGAGAACTGCTGTACATCTGTGTTGCATGGAGTCACCCAACTTCTGGCCCCTGTGATCAGGTATTCCAGCCCAGGATGATTGGACTACATTCCACAGTTCTTCTCTATTTCTTGGTTTTGCCTCAGAAACTGCATTTTTGATGTCACCCCACAAGTTTTCTATTGGATTAAGATCCGGGATTGGGCTGGCCACTCCATAACATCAATCTTGTTGGTCTGGAACCAAGATGTTGCACGTTTACTGGTGTGTTTGGGGTCGTTGTCTTGTTGGAACCCCCATTTCAAGGGCATTTCCTCTTCAGCATAAGGCAGCATGACCTCTTCAAGTATTCTGATGTATTCAAACTGATCCATGATCCCTGGTATGCGATAAATAGGCCCAACACCGTAGTATGAGAAACATCCCCATATCATGATGCTTGCACCACCATGCTTCACTGTCTTCACAGTGTACTGTGGCTTGAATTCAGTGTTTGGGGGTCGTCTGACAAACTGTCTCCGGCCACTAGACCCAAAAAGAACAATCTTACTTTCATCAGTCCACAAAATGTTGCGTCATTTCTCTTTAGGCCGGTCAATGTGCTCTTTGGCAAATTGTAACCTCTTCAGCACGTCTTTTTCCCAACAGTGGGACTTTGCGGGGGCTTCTTGCAGATAGCTTGGCTTCACATAGGCGTCTTCTAATTGTAACAGTCCTCACAGGGAACGTCACACCTTCTTTCATCTTCCTGGAGCTGATTGTTGGCTGAGTCCTTGCCATTTTGGCTATTCTTCTATCCATTCCAATGGTAGTTTTTCGCTTTCTTCCACGTCTTTCAGGTTTTGGTTGCCATTTTAAAGCATTTGCGATCATTTTAGCTGAGCAGCCTATCATTTTCTGCATTTCTTTATATGTTTTCCCCTCTCCAATCAACTTTTTAATCAAGGTACGCTGTTCTTCTGAACAATGTCTGGAACGACCCATTTTCTTTAGAATTTCAGAGAGAAATGCACTGTAACCAGCATGTACAACATTTGCTGCCTTCCTTCCTTAAATAAGGGCAATAATTGCCACCTGTTTTTCAAAGAATGAATGACCTCACTAATAGAACTCCACACTGCTATTATTTTGAACATGCCCCTTTCAATGAGTGATTCAATGACACAGAATCAGCAGCATGCATGTCATGACTGTTGGGTCTGTTGGATTTCTATTACTCTACTACACCTGCTTGTAAATTATTTGCCATGTAGAAATATAATTTCTACCAAAAACAGTGATTGATCCGGTTAGTGATGTCTGACTGATATTATTTTGAACACAACTGTATATCTTTACTTTCAGAGCCCCCAGACAAAAACGAGCATTTAACCCATGCAGTGCGGGCACAGAACCACTGCATGGGAAAATAACATTTTTCCCAGATTTCTTCTATAAGCTCCAGTCCAAGACAGTTGCCATGTAGGACCCTCCAACACATAAACATCTTACATATTAATCATTCACTTAGGAATTTTCACAAGTAACACATCATTAATTACAAGAGACTTGAAACGTCTGTTATCTCTGAGCACCTTATCAGCCTGGTGACCTCCAATACCCAAATCCCTCATTGCAGGACAAGGAGACTGAACTGTCTCTATATTCCACAGCGAGACATTCCACATGGAGGACAACAATTTATAGAACATCTTCCTGCAAAGTCAAGCTAGCAAGCAAACTGTTCTCATATAGACAACATAACATATAAGTAATGTCATATAAAACTGAACTCTGGCAAATACATAAAATAAATCCTTCAAGTAGTATTAAACCCTCAGAATTTTTAACTTAACACACTGATCACAATAAATGAAATATTCCCCAGTAAAGGATTTGTTAAAATTCTTACGCCAGCACTTGCAGTTTACAACTTTCAATGCTACCGGCTCCTGCTCTCTCAGTGCTGCTTCCCTGGACTTCCTGTTCACAGGAAAGAATGAACAGTGGATAGTACAGTCTGCAGTCAGTCTGTTAGCCTGGAGAATTGAAGGAGGGAGAAGAAGGGAAAGACCTTGCCATCCTAGGCTATGGGGCTGTGTATTTCTACTGATGCACACAGTGTAGGGAGACACAACTATGGTTACGGTATACAAGGATGGCTCCACAGAGCTGCAAGATAAAGGAGGTACCTTGGCATCAGCTTAGCCACTTTAGAACCGCCCGCCCCCCCATTTTAGCATGGATGGGCACCTTCTACTGGCACAGCGACGTACCTGTTCCATTTTCTGGTCCCCCCCACTGACTCCCATTGTGATTAGACACAGCAGGATTTTGTTAGCAGGTCTCAGCCAATGAGTCATGGCCGGGAGCTGCTGATTGGCTGTGTACAGTCACAGCCCTGAGCCCTGATAAGTAACAGAGAGCTCTGTACAGAGGGAACAACCTCTTTGTTTCTTCTCCCGGCAAAGCATGTGCCTGCTGTGATTGGCTCTCACAGTATCCACATGATCAGGAGCCCATCCAGCTGGCTTCCAATCAGAAATTATGACAAGAGATGAGCTCAAGAGTCCTCTGAGTTCACCTCTACTTGAACTATCAGAGTCCTCTTTACTTCAGAGACCCCATCAGAGCCCCCCTTAGATCTGTGTCTTTATCAGAGTTCTCCCTTACTTTGGAGTCCTCATCCAAGTCCCCCCTTACATCAGTGTCCCAATCAGAGTCTCCTTTACATCAGAGCACCCCTCTTATATCAGTGTCTTTATTAGATTCCTCTTTTACTTCAGAATCCCCATCAGAGTCCCCTGGTAAATCGGTGTCCCCATCAGAGTCTCTCATTTTACATCAAAGTCCCTATCAGAGTCCCCCCTTACTTTAGTGTCCCCATCAGAGTCTCCCTAATATCATTATCCCCATCAGAGTCCTCATCAGAGTCTCCCTTACATCAGTGTCGTTATCAGATTCCTCTTTTGCTTTAGAATCCCCATTAGAGTCCCCTCTTACTTCAGAGTCCCCATAAGAGTTCCTCCTTACATCAAAGTCCCTAACAGAGTCTCCCTTATATCATTATTGCCATCAGAGCCCCCTTATATCAGAATCCCCCCTTAAATGTGTCCCCATCCAAGCCTTGTTTTCCCATCACAGTCCTTATTGGAGTCACAGTCTCCTTTACATCACAGTTCCCATCAGATTCCCCGTCTTACTTGGAGTCCCCATTAGAGTTCCCCCTTACATCAGAGTCCCTATCAGTTGCCCCCCTTACTGTTGTGTCTCCATCAGAGTCTTCCTTATTTTACAGTCCCCATCAAAGTCCCCCTTAAGTCCCCCTTACATCAGAGTCCTCATCAGAGTCCCCTTTACTTCAGAGTCCCCCCCCTTATATCAGAGTCAACCCTTGTACACTTATCTTCCTGTGCATGCTAGGGCTAACACATAGTTGTTGGGATGCCCCAAACGATGGTATGACAGTGCAGTCAGAGGAAACTTTGCTAGAGACAGAGGTGATGAAGGGTGGGGGTTATGGAAGCTAGAGAGAATCAGAGACCACAGGCTGACCGGAAGACCTGTGTAAGACTTGTGAGAGAGTCCCTTGACCCTAGCTGTGGGCTGCATAAATATTACAACGGTCCTTAGTTTGGAGATCCCTGTCTGTGACAGCTCGGTCCTTAGTTTGGAGATCCCTGTCAGTGACAGTTCGGTCCTTAGTTTGGAGATCCCTGTCAGTGACAGTTCGGTCCTTAGTTTGGAGATCCCTGTCAGTGACAGTTCGGTCCTTAGTTTGGAGATCCCTGTCAGTGACAGTTCGGTCCTTAGTTTGGAGATCCCTCTCAGTGACAGTTCGGTCCTTAGTTTGGAGATCCCTCTCAGTGATTCCCCTTAGTTTGGAGATCTCAGTGACAGTTCGGTCCTTAGTTTGGAGATCCCTGTCAGTGACAGTTCGGTCCTTAGTTTGGAGATCCCTGTCAGTGACAGTTCGGTCCTTAGTTTGGAGATCCCTGTCAGTGATAGTTCGGCCCTTAGTTTGGAGATCCCTCTCAGTGACAGTTCGGTCCTTAGTTTGGAGATCCCTGTCAGTGATAGTTCGGCCCTTAGTTTGGAGATCCCTCTCAGTGACAGTTCGGTCCTTAGTTTGGAGATCCCTCTCAGTGACAGTTCGGCCCTTAGTTTGGAGATCCCTCTCAGTGACAGTTCGGTCCCTTAGTTTGGAGATCCCTCTCAGTGACAGTTCGGTCCTTAGTTTGGAGATCCCTCTCAGTGACAGTTCGGTCCTTAGTTTGGAGATCCCTCTCAGTGACAGTTCGGTCCTTAGTTTGGACATCCCTGTCTGTGACAGCTCAGTCCTTAGTTTGGAGATCCTTGTCAGTGATAGTTCGGTCCTTAGTTTGGAGATCCCTGTCAGTGACAGTTCGGTCCCTAGTTTGGACATCCCTGTCAGTGACAGTTCGATCCATGTGCGGACGGAGCCTGCTCTCAGCACGCAGCCTCAAGCCATCATGGACACATATGTACTTTCTTGCCGCCGCATATATTTTTTTAAAATCAATGTACACCACTTGGCCAGTGTGGATTTTAAGATCCCTAATTCTACCTTCTTTGAAGATTTTTTTTTTCTTTTTTTGGATGGAATTCTTATAAAAACCAGA